AACATCCTCCTAGATTGAACTTGAGGAGCCAAGGAAATGATTGGGTATGAATGGTAAAAAGCATGAAGTGGGCATAGCTCAACCAGGCATCTGGATTGCCATGACTTACATCTTCATGTATTATTACAGCTGTTGTTGGCGTACATGGTTCTGTATGGTTTTTGGCACATTTTGTGCTGACAGTGCCCCTTTAGCACATACCCATATATGGGTATGTGTGATAGCTAGCCTATATGATAGCCCCCAATTATCTCTACTTTCTTATATTCCCATTCTCATATAGTCCCTTCCCACATTGTGTCAAAGGTTGGTTTAAGTGACCAATAGCATAGATACTATTGCCTAGGACATAAAAGACAATTGTGGCTTCTGCTTGCTATCTTGGATGAATCACTCATTCTGGGAAAAGCTGGCTGCCATGCTATAAAGACACATAGGCAGCCCTGTGTGGAGGCCCATGTGATGAGTGAATAAAGCCTAGTGTGAACCTCAGCAAAGAACCAAGATGTTCTGCTATCAGCCGTGGGAATGGGCCAGCTGGGAAGCAGACCCCCAGCCCCAGTCAAGCCATCAGATGACAGAAGCTCAGGTTCATATGTCATGAGTGAACCCTGAGCTAAAATTACCCAGCTGTTCCTATATCCCTGATGATCCATGGGAACTGCGAAATACTTGTTTGTGGTTTTAAGCCACTAACCTTAGGGTTATCTTTTATGTAGCAATACATAGTATATCACATGTTTGTGCTTCCTACCCTGTGCCACCTCAGATACTGATGAGTGTTGGCTTGGCCCAAGCATCTGCATAGATCAGGAAGTTAACACTCCTGAGGATGACCTTGACCAATAAGAGGGAAGTCAATGGATATATGGACTTGCTTCCTAGCTTTCAAGAAGACAATTCTGGAAGGCATTAAGTGGGCTTCTCAGATGGCCCTTGAGAAGCATCAAGCCCCTGCTTCCCATAGTTAGGGTGTTTCTCTCCTTTGCTGTCCTACTCTCTCTGACCTCTCTTCTCCTCCCAAGAATTGCCAGATGATCTCATCTGCACACAAAGCCTGATATCAGCCCTTCCTTCAGGGAAACCCAAGCTAAAACCGTGAGTGTGAATAAATGCTACATGCCCCCAGGACTGCGCCAAATGAGAATGTGAACATTTAACTTAATAGATGAGAGCAACGGGCTCAGCCTAGCTCAAGTGGAATGTACAAAAAAGAAGCTTGTTTTATTGGAGGACTTCTTTAGCAGTATAATGCTAAATTCTTTCTTTCTTTTTCTTCTTTTTTTAAAAAAAATGTGAGCATTTTAGATGATGTCAGCTTTGAAAGTTTCCTAATTAGACGTTTACATGTCAAGGGCCCTTATAAGCCCTTTTCTCTTGCCATTAATGAGGAATAAAATAGCTCCTGAAGAAAAAAGGTAAATTGTTCATATTGCATTCCTTGGTCCTCAGAAAAGAAAGCTCATTCACAATAGGCATGATTGCCAAGTTCAGGCACAGTTAAGAAGTTCTTTAGGGCTTTGGTGTTCACAAAGGAAGCACCCCCACCTGCCAGCCTGCATGGTGGTCTGCTGAAAGAATGAGGGCTCATTCGAGAAGTATTTTAAGGATAAGGAATTCAAACTTGTTTCACTGGATAGGGGTATCTTTCTTAGTCTCTGTCCACATACAGTCATTCTGTATATGGCATGTTTTGGGGTAACAGTGGAATGAGTTCTTTGAGTTTCACACCAGCCATAGAATTCTAACATGGTGGGAGACAAAGGCAGGTCTCTTAATGGGTGTTTCAATCCATTCGTCCCTTTCTGATGAAAAGAATTGTTATTATGCAGTAGGATTTCTTTCTTAACTAAAAGAGTTCTCTTGCATTAATCTAATTTCACCAACGATCTGAAGCCTGAAGGAGTACCTTAAAGCCATTTGACTTCAAAAATTGAGGAAGCTTTAAGGGCTGGATTCTTTTGGCCAAGACCGCATTCTTCACCTGCATGAGAGATGGTCTGCAAGTAGAGGACAGAACTTCAGTCCAAGTTCATTTCCACCTGACTCAAGCCCAAGCTTACGTAGCAACCATTTACTTTTCTTTTCTTTTTTTTTTTTTTTAAGATTTTATTCATTCACTCATGAGAGTCAGAGAGAGAGAGAGGCAGAGACCTAGGCAGAGGGAGAAGCAAGCTCCCTACAAGGAGCCCGATGTGGGACTCGATCACAGGACCCCGGGACCAGGACCTGAGCCAAAGGCAGACACTCAACCACTGAGCCAGCCAGTGTCCCTCCATTTACTTTTCTTAACCCTAACCAACCTTACAGGTTCAAATTTAGAGCTGTGATGAAGCTAAAAGCTATTGTGGCCATGAGCAAAGTTTTACCATAAATTTGGGTTTCAACATGAAGATGTCAGAATGAGGGACCATCAAGTGGGAATGAGACACAAGTGAGGACCACAACAGAGGATCGTGGACTTTGGGATTACAGAAACTGAAAACTTACCGAAGAAGGGCTATTGGTCATTCATTGAACATTTATGAGTGCCACTCAGTGCCTGATGCTAACCATGTAAAGATGACAAAGGCATGGACCCTAGCCTCAAGAAGTTCATCCCAGCAAAAATAGGACTTTGTTTTTTAGAAAAATAAATGATTCTCAGTTTGTATCATATGTGAAAATTTTTCAATGGGATTTTTGTAGACAAAGGACCCTCAGTAGAGTTAGAGATCCATACGTTCCTATTTCATACTCCTCTTGCCTTGTGAAATAATTGTATAAGATAATGTAATTGAAAGCTTTTTGGAGAGTGTCTGGCAAATGTGAAGTCTCCACCAAGTTAGGTGCATATAATGGCTCACAGTCACGAATTCCAACTCAGTTATTTTCCCTCAAAACACAAAGCCTAGTTTCCTAGGACTTACTTGCTCTCTTCTTATCATTCATGACCCCCACCTTTACTTGTTTCTTCTGCCAGCAGGGGACGGGGGGCTGCACTGGAGCTTGCCCATGAGCCGAGACCCATTGAGAGATGATCCTTTTGACCAAAGTATCAAAGCAATCCAGCTGCGGATTAAGGAAACAGAAGGCTCTGAAGCTTTGGTTTAAGAGTCAGGTCATGGAACTCTTTGAAGAGCTTGAGTTTTTGGAGAAAAAGTGCCGAGCAAGTTCCAAATGCACATTCATATTTAGATAGAAGACACAGAAATATAAAGCCACGTGACAGATTCCTTAGCAAATATAACAGCATACACATCTTAATGAGCAATATACCCCTTGATGCAAGTTTCCATGGTAGACAAATGCTTATTTCAATTGCTCGAAGCAATTTCCTTTAGGAATTTCCTTGAAAGTTGGCAGAGCATTCTTTTGAATATCCTCAATAGAAGGAATTTTATCCTTTAAGAGAGGACTTAAGTTTTTGTTTAAGGAGTCAAAAAGCCATTTAAAGCCAAAAATGATGACACCCCCACACACACACAAATGATCAAGCAGAGAAGTATTGTTTGTGACTATAAAGTAATGAGGCTGGTTTTGGTGCATGGCCTTAAACTGATGCTGAGGCCATTCCACAAAAGCACCCCAAATGTTTTTTTATAGCAAGTTACGTTAGTTTGCTAAGGCTGCAATAACAAAATATCACAGACTAGATAGATGGCTTAAACAACAGAAATTTATTTTCCCACACTTCTGGAAGCCAAAAGTCCCAGATCAAGGTGTTGGCAGGGTTGGTTTCTCCTGAAACCTGTCTCTTGGCTTGCAGATGGTCATCTTCTTGCTGTGTCCTCACATGGCCTTTTCTTGGTGTGTACATCCCTGGTCAGAGACATCCCTGGAGTCTCTTTGTGTCCTGTTTTTTTTTTTTTTATTCTTATGAGGATAGCAGTCAAACTAGATTAGGGCCCACTCTGACACCTCATCTTAACCTAATCACCACATTAAAAGCTCTATCTCCAAACACAGTCACATTCCGAGGTACTTGGAGTCAGGGCTTCAACATATGAATTTGGAGGAAACATGATTTAGCTCATAATACAACTCATCTCTGAGAAAGTGTATAATCCTCCAAGTGCCCTCTTCTGAAAGACAGCATCATTTTTATGTGTAAGTACTGGTGCACTTGTTAAAAGGTAATTTACTTCCAACCTATGGATGAATGGATAAACAAAACGTATATATGTACAATATCGCGCAGCCTTAAAAAGGAAGGAAATTCTGACACTAGTTACATCATGGATAAAACTTAAAGATACTGTGCCAAGTGAAAGAAGACAGACACAAAAGGACAATATTACATTATTCCATCTATATAAGGTACCTAAAATAATAAAATACATAGAGGCAGAAGGGAAACCAGTGGTCACCAAAGGCCAGGGGAGAGGAGAATAAGGAATTATTGTCTAAGCGGTACGAGCTTCTGTTTGGGAAGATGAAAAAGTTCTGGAGATGAATGGTGGATGGTTGCACAACAATTTGAGTGTACTGGCATCCCTGGCTGGCTCAGCGGTTGAGCGCCTGCCTTTGGCCCAGGGCATGATCCTGGAGCCCCAGGGTTGAGTCTCTCATCGGGCTCCCTGCATGGAGCCTGCTTCTCCCTCTGCCTCTGTCTCTGCCTCTCTCTTTGTGTCTCTCATGAATAAATAAATAAAATCTTAAAAAAAATTTTTTTTGAGTGTACTTAATGCCACTGAACTGTTCCCTTAAAAATGGTTAAAATGGCAAATTTTATGATGTTATGTATATTTCACCACAATAAAAAACATTAAAAAAATTAATCTGTAGTTGCTGGTCAAGAAATAGAGCCTAGGCTTTTCAGGAATAAATGTGGCTTAATAGGGCCTATCCAATGAAACAAAGGGTAAATGTATTGACCGAGGGGTATGGCTAACCCAGAGCTGCAAGAAATGGAATCGTAATTTAGTGTGCAGTGCTTTAATTCTTTCTGAGCAATAGTTATCTCAATCGTGCATAATAATAGCATTTTAGTGACTTCTATTTCTTTTTTTTTTTTTAAGATTTTATTTATTCATGAGAGACACACAGAGAGAGGCAGAGACACGGGCAGAAGGAGATGCAGGCTCCCTGCAGGGAGCCTGATGTGGGACTCAATCCCAGGACCCTGGAATCACGCCCTGAGTCAAAGGCAGACATTCAACTGCTAAACCACCCAAGTGTCCTCAATTTCTGACTCAGTCAGAAAAAGTCACATGAACCTTCCTACCAGGAGTTGGCCACTTCTCAGGTTTGTTGTATGACATTGCTACCCACACCCAAGACCTAATCTGGTTAAACCATAAAGCAAATTAAATCTACTTCCCAATTCCCTTTTCGTGCTTCTTATCCATTGGCTGAAATCTTATTTCCCCTTCCCACTGGGCAGTAAGTGCCTTTCCCCCCCAGTCCTGAAATTTTGAAGCTCTAATCCTTCTGCCATCAATCTCCCACCCCACCCTCATGCTTGCTATCCAGGGAGCCAGGCACAATCAACCAGAATCACCCCTACTTTCTACCTCTTCCCTAACCCATCAAACCTTCCAGTGATCTAATGACAGTTTTCAGAGGGGTTGTGTGTGGATCATGGAAAGAAATCCTAACTACCAAAGAACATACAGTGATTTGTAAAAAAAAAAAAAAAAAAAAAAAAAAAAAAAACTGTGGGAAAACGCAATTATTCCATCCCTCACTTAAAAGGAAAACCAATTCATACTAAGATGTAAATGACTATTTACTGGAAGATTCTTTAGGCCAGTACTATAGTTATCATTTCTTCTTGTGCGTGGCTGCTTTGGGTCTTGTGCATCATTTTTCTTTTTGAGACACGAAGGTCAGAGAGGAATTTTATTAGAACTTGGCAGTCCTCAGTTCCTAGCTCTTTACCACAATCAACTAAACCCACACAAATGTTACTAGAAAACGAATAGGAAATCATTGCTTCTGTTGTCCATATGTTTGACCAAGATAAGGCTTCTCAATAGGATTATTCTTTCATATATGGAGAAATGCAATCAAGTTCCTGATCAATCTGGACTCCCTGAACTTATTTTTCAAGTAGATGAAAACCATACCAAAATGGCATTCTTCTGACACATTAAACAAAAATGTTCTCTTAAAGAAATGATTAACTTTACAAAAATATTTGTATAAGTTGCTTTTAGTTATGAGAGAAACTTACTCTTTTTTTAAATATTTCATTTATTTATTCATGAGGGGTACAGAGAGAGAGGCAGAGACAGAGACACAAGCAGAGAGAGAAGCAGACTCCCTGCAGGGGATATGGGACTCAATCCCCGGACCCTGGGATCACGACCTGAGCCAAAGGCAGATGCTCAGCCACTGAGCCACCTAGGTGCCCGAAAGGAATTTTTCGAATACAGTTCTCTATAAAGTAAATCTTTGACTTTCCTGAAGAAAGTTTTGATTTTTGAAGTGTCCAAGGCATTGCGATACAGCAATTCCATTCTGAAGGGGGTCTCATGGTATCAGACCCAGAAGATGGCACCAAGCTTCAGTTAAGGTATATGCAAAATAATGAATATTAAGTCAGACATTCTAAAATATGAAATTATTCTATAGCAGCCACAAGGGCTTGGTTTTTGTTCTCTCCTTTCGACTCCTACCCCATTTCCATTTATATCAATGCATTAATCAATATCTGTTTGTTGCTGTTGAAGGTACCACAGCTCTGGATTTCAGAACTGTGCTGAATTTTTCACCTTTCCCATATTACTAGTGGACCTTGGACCACATTGTGTCTTCTCTTTTCCAATTCATACCCCCAGCGGGACTGGACCTAGAGATAGGGTCTTTAGAGGGTAAGGTTAAATGAGGTCATAAGGGTGTGGTCCTAATCTGAGGTCCAGGAGTGGGACCTCATGAGAAGAGGAAGACGGAGTTCTCTTCCTGCCTTGTAAGGACACAAGAGTATAGCTGTCAGCAAGCCAGGAAGAGAGTTCGCAGCAGAACCCAGCAATGCCGAATGCTGATCTGCTGATTCGGCCTCCATAGCTGCACGTTTCTGTTGTTCGAGCCACCCAATCTATGATATTTTGCCATGGCACTCGAGCTGACTAACACAACTAGTTTTACCCTTTTTTCACTAGCTTCTCTGAATTTTGGGTGAATTTTGGGATCTTCCCTGTTGAGTACTTAAGAAACAGAAGCGCCTCTGATGAGGGTTAAACCCTCAAGTCTTTGAGATTCCTTTAGAGGAAAAAGCTAATGTAGGGTCCCTCTAGTGAGAATGTGAATATTGCTTCTACAAGCTGGGTTTCTAAAGGAATAGCTAACAAAAAGTAACATGCCTTCTCCCTTCTTGCCTCCCCTTCTGGTTTCTCTGCTGCTTTACCACATGCAAGATTGATTCTACTTTATCCGGCCCGGGTTGGTGGAACCCTTTGGAGCACGGAGTCAAACTTGACACCTACTAGCTGCAGCTTGGGCAACTCTCTGAACCTCCAGAAGCTTGCTTTACCATCCTAAGGTAGGTTGTGCTGAGGAAGAAATAAGGTAATAATAGTACATGCTCGCGGCTTGGTAACTAAGTAAGAGGTGTTGCCCTGTGCTTATTACTAGATGTTGCTCCTTACTGGGTGCTGCTCCTTACTGGGTGCTGCTCCTTACTGGGTGTTGCTCCTTACTAGGTGTTGCTCCTTACTGGGTGGTGCAGAGTCTGGGGCCTCTCTTTGGGAGGAGCCACGGTGTACCCAGGCCCACCAGCTCTGCCCTGTTCCCGGGGTCATCTCACAGGTCAGCAAGTCCAGACACCACCCAGCAATTAGTCGTGACCCCAAAGAGTGAGTGACGTTGAGAGAGGCGCAGATCTCGAGTCTCTCCCAAGAGCTCAAGCCTCCAGGTCCTGGAGCCCCATGAGGACGAAGGTGAAGGCAGTTTGCCGGTGCGGGGGCCGTCGGGGGTCCTCGGCAGCTCCCTAGTCCGTGCCCGGGGAGCAGCAGGCGGGGCCCCGGCGGGCTGGGCTCCATGGAGGTGCTCCTGCTCGGCCTGTTGCCGACCAAGGGCCGCAGAAGGAGCGCGAGCGTCCGACCGGGCGAAGGCTGCCCGTCGCGGCGCACGTCCCAGGGAGAGGCTAGGGGCCGCCGAAGCTGCTGTCCTTGCGTCCACGGGGCGGGGTCTCCGCCCGCCCCTCGCCCCGGGCGTCCTCGCGGCCCGGGGGTCCGAGCTGCGGGTCTGGGCGCCGCGGCCGCGGGGCGGGCACCCCAGGCGGCGGGGGGCGGGGGGCGCGGGCCGCGGGCTGCGCAGGGCCGGCTGCGAAAGAGCAGCGGCGGCCGGCGGGCCTCGCTCCCGGCTCGGCAGCCGCCGCCGCCCCGCGCACGCGGGATCACAGGGGAGCTGACGTTTCATTTACCGACTGAGCGACTCTGAAAAAGGCCCCTGTGCCCAATTACCGCGGCGCGCAGCCTGCTCGGCGGCGGGCGCCCTCGCGGGGGAGGGGTGCCTGGGGCCCTCCGAGGGGAGCTGCGGCCGCCGGCTCCGCCGAGCCCCGCCGCCCCCCGCCGCCGGGAAGCGCCGGCCGCGCGCCCCCGACCGCCCCCCCTGCGGCCCGCGCGCCCCCCGAGCTCCCCCTCGCGGCCCGCGCTCCCCCAGCCCCCCTCCGCGACCCGCGCCCCCGGGGTCTCCCACCGCAGCCCGCGCACCCCCCCCATCTCCCCGCGGCCCCCCAGCCCCCCCCCGCGGCCCCCCAGCCCCCCCCACCTCCCCGCGCCCCCCCGAGCCCCCGCCCCGCGGCCCGCGCCCCCCGAGGTCCCCCCCCGGCGGCCCGCGCGCCCCCCCGCACCCCCCCAGCGCGCCCCCCGAGGCTCCCCCCCAGGCTCCCCCCCCCCCCCGCGCCCTCTGAGGGCACCGTCTCCCTCCGCGGGCCCGAGTGCAAGCGCCAGGCGTCTCCCGAGACCTCTTCCCTTTCCTTTTTAATTTTTTTCCCTTTTTTCCTTTTCCTTTTTCTCTTTTCCTTTTCTCTTTTTCTTGTTTTCTTTTCTTTCTTCTTTTCTTTCCTTTTTCTTAAAGGAATGTGCCAGTAGCCTATGCGACTACCAAAAAAAAAAAAGATGTATCAAATGAGGCTGGGTTTTGTATTTCGGCCGCCCCCGGGCTCGGGGCCTCGCCCCACGCCTGCCCGCCTCCCGCCTCCCGCCCGCCGCCCGCCCGGCTCCCCACCGCCCGGCTGCGTTGGGCCAGTTTCCTTTTCTCCGCTTGGAGATGATATTTGAGCCCGTAGCCGCGCTGCTGTGTATTTGCGAATTTATAACAAGGAAATGCTGCCTGCCACAGGTCACTGCACGTAAGCAGGCGGCCGCGTAATCAGCAGATCGGTTAACCTGTTTACCAGGCACCTGACAGGAAGGTGGCGTGGTCCGGGGGAAGGGACAATGGCCTGTATGTCGGGAGCCCCGGGTTGGGTTTCCAGCCTCAGCGCGGACTTAACCAGCTCTGCTCGCTGTGCCTCACTTTCTCCATTCACCAGAGCCTGGATAAAGCCGCTTTGAGAAAGCTCCACTGAGGATTAGTGAGATGGTATCTGTGCAGGGCTCCGCGGTTCTTGAAGGAAGGCGCCGTGTAAATACAACTTGCCGAGCTTGTTGTAATCATCACCGTTCTCGTGGCTATTAATCTCGACTTCCCTTCCTTGTCTGTTTTGGCATCATTATATAACCCGCTGTGTCTGTGCGTGTGCCTTGTGTGTGCGTGTGTGTGTGTGTGTGTTTGGGGACGTGGGAGTAGGATTTAGACTCAGAATAAGAGTCAACCCCTCCAAAACTAGTAAAGCCAGGTGAATTCCAAGCTGGGAAACCCCTAAAGTTTGACAGATTACAGTAATGTCTTAGTTTCAACCCGGCTGCTCCATATTTCACATTTTTTTCCCTTTCCGTGCTACCTTAGTTTTAAGGAGACTTCACTGCAACTGCACGATCCAGAGCGTCAGAGTGAAGTCTTTGTGCTTGCTTGCCCATAGCCAAACACATAGGTCTATGTTTAAATAATCGTAAGAGACTTGAGTGGAATTCTTAAAAAAAAAGTTTTATTTATTCACTCATGAGAGACACAGGGGTATAGGCAGAGGGAAAAGCGGGCTCTCCAGAGGAGCTCTATGTGGGATTCCATACCAGGACCCCAGGATCATGACCTAAACCAAAGGCAAAGGCTCAGGCACTGAGCCTCCCAGGCTCTGGAGAGCAGAATTTAATGTTGAGATAAATAATTGCACTGAGTGAAGCTAACAGTTCACTGGACAGTGTTCTCTGGGGACAACAAAGAGTTCACCAATTCTCTCTGTCCAGGACCAAAAGTTTAGAATGGGGCTGAGGGCAAGGAGATCCTCTTATCCAGAAAGTGTTCCACTCAGCCCCCTGGGGGATCTCTGACCGGGCTCTCAGTAGTCACTTTGCTTTCAGCTCCCCTCCCACTCCTGGAACCTGGTGTTTTCCTGCCCACCCACACTCTAAAGGTCCCAGGTCAGAGTGGTGAAGGGCAAGGAGGAAACCTCTGGATTGATAATGTCTTTAACGCATATTCCTGCTGTGGCCTAAGTGGTTGGTGCTGGCATTTAAAAGAAGTTTAAAAAATATATATATATGTATATATATATGCGTACATACATACACAAGCAACCTGATAAATCTATCTTATATTAATACTGCTTCATTTCTAACAAAAACCGTTGTGTTCTAAAGATTTGGACTAAAAGGTCTGTTTAGGGCGTCTGGGTGGCTCAGCTGGTTAAGCTTCTGCCTTCAGCTCAGGTTATGATCTTGGGGTCCTGAGATGGAGCCACGCATCCAGGTGCCTGCTTCTCCTTTCCCTCTGACACCCCTAGTGCTCTCTCTCATGGGCACTCTTTCTCTCAAATGAATAAATAAAGTCTTTTAAAAAATTTTTTTAAAAACTAAAGGGCTGTTGGTTTTTGTGATGGACTTTCTCCCCCTAAAAATCAAATAAATCAACTTAATGCCTTCTATGTATCAGGTGAATTATAGGCAGCTGACAAGAAATATATCTCTTTTACATTAATACATATTTTTGAAGAGCCACATGATTAGCAGTAACTCTCACTTTTAAAAAGTCTAAGTTGGATTCAGATCCCTGAGTCCCACGTGGCAGAAACAGGCACCATTGAGGCATCCAGTCCATCAACTCGACTGAAAAAGTTCTATCCTCTCTTTCTTGCAAAGCCTCCTTCAGCCTTTCCATTTATGAAAATTAAACATTTAGGGAAATCCTTGAATACAGCGTCATGAACAAGTACCATTCTATCCATAGCATTTGATTTACCCAAAATACTCAATTGAAATTTCAGGTGAGTTGTATCAATTATTTTGGGTTTACTGAATTGATCAGAAAAGTTAAAAGATAAATTTTTTGTATCTAGTTCTGTCCCTAGCATTACCAGTCTTGTACAAGTTGCCTCACTGGTCTGTTCTCAGTAATCAATACAAAAAAGCAGGGCTTGTCAAGAAACTGGCTGCAGGTGATGAGGACTAAATTCTTTATGTTCTTTTATAAGGAAATGTTCTGGTGCAGTAACACCTCATTCAAACAATGATGCCAACCTTAACTCTCAGACACACAACTATCAAATTAGGAAGCATTAAAAAAAGGAAGAAAAGCTCAAGAAGGCTGTGCACTAAAGGTTACATACCTTATTATTAGGAGATTCACATAGGCTTCTGCTTAGAAACTATTTGCTTTTTCTTGAAGCATGATTCTAATGGTCTTGGTTTTTTTGATTATCTACCACACAATAAACAGAATGGGGAAGGTATGATACTGACTGGAATTGAATTCTGAAGGGATGTTTTAAGACACAAGAAAGAAGTGATAAGTAATTTAAAATGCAAATAGTCATCTAGAGCCTTTGTGAATGTGAGAAAACTTTTCAGCACAAAAGATATGGAGTTCATCAGTATATATCAATAAAAAAAACTTTAATAATCATGTAAGACAAGGTGAGATGATGCCTATTGCACTCTGTTTAGAAAGACAGGGAAGTAGATCGTAATTTCCCATGATGGTTTTGATTTAAATTACAAAGTTTTAGCACTTAAAGGAATAAGCTTCAGTTGGTTGTGAAATATATTAGTAGAATTCCTCATTTTTCAAGAATGTGAGACAAAAGAAGAATTGCAACAGGGAAAACTAATAGTATCTTAGGTTTACATGTTATTCCAAGGGATGCCCTCCAGATAAACTTCAGACCTCAAGGGGTGATTGGTTCAGTGATGATTTCAGGAAAGATTATCATCTACTAAATAATTCAGCTCACATCCTTTTCCCCTCTGGTTTTCTATCCAAGAAGCATCAGGCCTGGTTTTGCTTAGTTTGTGAGATCTCAATCCAGAGGAGGTTGGCTAAAGACCACGAGGGCTAGGCATGTTAAATGTGGGTCACCAAGTTGTCTGTGCAAGCCATTAAGGGTTGGGAGGCAGTTTGACAAAACTAAAGAAAACATCTGGGAAATGCAAATTAAGATCT